GACATGATGATATTGTGGGAACTAAGTGAAGCTAACTTTGATCTTGTCTCATCTAAAAAAGACATCTGAGTTATTTATGTCTGTATAACTTATATTAGCATTGACCAGCTAGCAGGAAAAAAATTTTAAAACTTAAATAATTTGAATGTATTAGGTTGGGAATAACATCTAATGACTAAAGGAGTCTGTGAGATTAACAACTTTTGGCAAAAAGCACTAAATAAAAGTCAGAGGGCTCAATTCCAAATGCTTTTTAAATTAAAAATTGATTTTAGTTAAAATCATCATATTCTCAGATCAACAAATTAGTGGGATTTCTTCTCTCCCTTTTAAAGGGCTATGAAAACAAAAACAGGTCCCCTCTTTTTTCTGTTATTCACAAGTAGTACATGGTTTGTAGACTCCTTTCTTGCCCTCTAGTAATGCTCAATCACTTCCTCTCTGGCAATGAGAATAGTAGAGAGAGAGAGAAATTAGCCTGGCACTTGGGAATGACAGAAAACCAAACCAAAAAACTCCTAGGACAGGTCCTCAGACCCACAAATGCTGTGTCTATCCCTGTCTAGCATGACTCATGTTGGAATTAAGTTTCTTTTGAGCTCAAGAGAAGATTTTGAAATACACACTGGGATTTATGGAAATGAGAGAATTAAGAATATGAGTAGCACAGAGCACAAGGAACTGTCCGTGACTCTACTGGTAAGAATACAGCAGCATAAGAAAAAAGAAATGGGATATGGGGCTGATTTTTTCTGGGATTGGAACACATGCCATCGATGCCAGATATTGTAGCAGAGACAGATGGCGTGGCAGATGCTGTGAAAGAAAAATGACTTACTACTAGGTGAACCGGAAAAAATAAACAAGAAGGACAGAGGAAAAAGTACAAGAGTTCTCCTCTGTTGTCAGGAACATCTTCCCATGGCTGCAAAATGTAACTGCATCCCAAGGTTGCAGACTGAAGACTGTGTCTTACCACTTTCTCCGCTGATTGCACGTTTGGAATTTACAGCTATTCTTTTGAGAGGATTCACTTTTTGTCTATTGGTTTTCCAAAAAAAAGGGAAGACAACAACTAATTGGATATATGATGCCTACAGACTAGGAAGAAGATGCTACTGCTAATCTTCTCTGGCTCAGTTGGATGCTATATGATACACAGAAACTGAATGAAACTCATCTTGGTTTATTTTAGAAATGCTCCCAATTAACATCCTTTCAAGGTGCAAATCAAATGAATGGGGTTGGCATTTTAATAAACTTAAGTCAAAGTTATTTAAAACATGTCTTAGAAAGCCAGGCTGGGCTCTCTCATTAGGTCCCTGGGGTTTAAAACAGGTGTCTCACCCAAATTATAGCTTAGCATGTGTTGTGGCTCCATGGAGTTGATAGGAATAATTGAAACCAATAAAAATGATTTTCAAATGCTAAGGCTCTATTATGAGCTATCCCAATATACACATGCAGCACAGTGCCAACATATGTAGATTCAATATATGAAAATTCATCAATATGCATTTGGCAGCCAATGTTGCATCACTTATATTAGACAGGAATGGATGCAATCAAACCTAAAATTGCCAATATGAGTTACTGAAACAAACAAACAAAAAGTATGTGAATGATATTAAGGATTTTCTGGCCATTTCAAAATGTAAAAAAGGGGAGTTAGGGGCTGGGCAAGTATCCAGTGATGGTTCTGTCACTGTATTTGCAGAGGAAATTGAAAAATAATTAAAAACTATAGAGTAATATGGACTAACAAACAGCTACTGTAAGATTCTGAAGGGTAATTTTGATTATATGTAACATTTACTTTCTGTACTGTTTTTAGAAACACTAATAGCCCTCTAAAGTAGACTCCATTGTACATGTACAACCTTCACTCACACACAACTTATGACTTACAAAATCATTGCAAAAATGAATCTTAATAACAACATGGAATCCAGAAATAGACGCATTTTTAGGAGAGCAAATGCATCCAAGGCCTCCTGGCAATCCCTATTTCTCATTTTCTTTTCTTTTTTAACATTTTATTTATTTATTTGAGAGAAAGTAAGAGAGAGCGAGCACAAGCTGGGGGGAGTGGCAGATGGAGAGGGAGAAGCAGACTCCCCACTGAGCAGGGAGCCCCATGTGGGGCTTGATTTCCAGGACCCCGGGATCACGAACTGAGCCAAAGGCAGACACTTAACTGACTGGGCCACCCAGGCGCCCCTATTTCTCCTTTTCTTCTTATTTCCTGTTTCTTCTATTGCCCAGATTGGCACTGCCCTCTGCTACAGTGAAGTAGAAGACACTAAGTGCAGAGAATAAGTATTATACTGGCATCTCCATCGGGCCCACCTTGGAACAAATGAGTATACTAAGTTTAAGGATACACATTTTCTGAAAGCCAGGGAGAAATTACAGGGGAGCTATTTCAATCTAGAACAAGTCCTGCTTGAGGAATTTCTGTGGTATGTCCCTGCTAAATCCTTCCAAAGGAATAAGCTTTAGAGCCTGATAGGCCAGCTAGGAGTGGATGGTAGAAGGTGGGGGAGAGCTGACTACATTCCAGCATGAAGTGGTGGATGGCTGCAGAGCTACAAAAAGCCATGTGCCTTGACCTTATCATCAAGTGTAAATATCTGTTGTTTGGCCTCCTTCACTAGACTTCTGAACCTGGACAATGACTTTTGATAAAACAGCTTGATAAAATATTCCACTTTGTGGAATTTTATATGAGAAACTGAGGAAAAATGAACATATTCTCCAATTCTGGCAAAGGCTGGATGGACAATGCTGCAGTTACAATTTCTACGGGGCAGCAATCTCATGTTTTTAATGTTGTTTTTTTGTTTGTTTAGCACTCTGAAGCTCCCTTCTACTAAATTTCAGCACATTATCAGTGTTTACACAACAGACACAATTGATTATCCTATCAATATCACATAGCTTAAATCCTAATTAAGAACTTCCTCCTTCTATAGTTATATAATGCAAATTATAATGTTTTCTGTTTGAGAGACTCCTGCATTGTATCTCTAAAATTAGACATGGGGTAGAGTGTGCAAAATGAGCAAAAACAAAACAAAACAAAAAACAAAAACCCAACACCTGGAAAAATCCCAAATGCTCTTCTATCCTGTACATGGTGTAATTGCAAAGGACTCTTTTTCAAAGAGGAAAATAGTGGCATTAGGCATTTAAAATTGAAAACAATTTCAGTTTTCACAAGCCTTCACCAAAAAGCATTTTATTCGATGCTTTTGTTCATCAGATAGCTTTAGTGTTCTCTTTAAATGTGTCATTGAGGAGAATGTGACATCACATTATCCTTGCAATAAGCACTTCTTACACTAGTAAGATGCTTATGACTGCTTTATGAAATACCTATTCTTTGCCTTGATAAAAATATCTATTTTTATGTCATTTCCATGGATAATTCTTATGAATTTCCAACACTGATGTTGCCATATAATAAACTCCTGATTTACTCAGAATCAAGAAAGCAGAAAACTCTAAGAGAAAATTAGATATATAAATATATATTTTTAATATTTCTCTGTAGTTGAGATAAATGATGAGGAAAATAATTTCCAGAATATTTTTTTTTGCTCAGAAGTGCAACCTACAGAAAAATGCATATATACTTCCACATGTACAATCATTTGTAACTTCTATAATCCTCTAAGCATGAATAAATCTTTATAACACCTGATTTATTATGAAATCCTGGACTACCTTTTGAATCATCAAGGACAAATTTATCTTCAGTGTAATTTTGAATAGTAAATAGAATTACCTTATTCTAATTCTTTGAAAATGTGTAAATGTATATTACAAGCCTCAAATGACCAGAACATTTTCCCTCATATCCCCCAAATATCTTTGTTCTTTTTAAAAAGATTTTAGGGGATCCCCAGGTGGCTCAGCGGTTTGGCGCCTGCCTTCTACCCAGGGCGTGGTCCTGGAGACCCGGGATCGAGTCCCATGTCGGGCTCCCTACATGGAGCCTACTTCTCCCTCTACCTGTGTCTCTGCCTCTCTCTCTCTCTCATGAATGAATAATTAAAATCTTAAAAAATAATTTAAAACAAGAATAAAAAATATTTTATTTATTCATTCATGAGAGAGAGAGAGAGGCAGAGACACAGGCAGAGGGAGAAGCAGGCCTGCTACAAGGAGCCTGATGTGGAACTTGATCCCACGATTCTGGGATCCTGACCTGAGCCAAAGGCAGACGTTCAACTACTGAGCCACCCAGGTGCCCCAATATCTTTGTTCTTATTCGCCTCAGGTAAGTTTAACCCCTATTACTGAATCTCAATTGACATGAACATTCTAATTTGTCCTCAAAAACTATCTTCTTTCTCAATCATCTTAGGTAGACTCCAAAAATAAGTGTAAATTGATGAAAATTTAGTTTTAGGAACATTCTCAAAGTTTCTACAGGGAGATGCCTGACTATTGTCTTCAAACAGCTGTAACAGAATGGGAATACAATGTTGCAAATCCTTGAGAATCAAAAGCCAAATTGCAACTAAGGAGTCTCATTTTGTAGTCCCTCCTGTAAAACCTCTGCTCATGGTAGCACTTAGCTCTTGTTACCACAGATTGGAAGCTAATCAGACCTAGTCATTACAAAAGAGGAAGATCATCGAGGGACTTACTCCAAAATAATGATGGCTGGGTTATAAACTCCCCTTCCAATTAATTTTATTGTTTCAGTTGATGAAATTGCAGAAGTGAAATGAACCTGGAAAGAGTGAGCACTGTAACCGGCAGGAGTCACAATTCCAATGTCTGCAAACGCTTCAAAAATGAAAGAAGATGCAAGATGCAGGATACAGAGTTCTGGGCTTGAGGGTAAATGCTGAGGCCGACTGTAAAGGTTTTCATTTTTCACATTCAATCAAATCGGTCTGAAGATATTTCATTTCCTACTGTTAGTGAAATAAATCATCAGCTAGAATTAATAACTCTAAAGTCTTCTATCAAATTTCTTCACTCACCTTCCATAGGGGTGTTGCTGTCTGGTCGATTTGCAAAGACAACATCCACATACTCCAGCTGCAGCCTCTGGAGGGAGCCCTTCAATCCTGGGAACGGAGGCAGGAAAAACACAAAAAGTATAAATGTAAGCACTATTAGAGATAGTTAAAGAGACTCCGAACTCCAGAAAACAAACTGAGGGTCACTGGAGCAGAGGGAGATGAGGGGATGGGGTAACCAAGTGATGGTCATTAAGGAGGGCACTTGATGTAAGGAGCACTGGGTGCTATATGCAACTGAGAAATCTCTGAACTCTACCTGTGAAACTAATAATATACTATACGTTAATTAATTGAATTTAAATACAATTTTAAAAAGATATAAAGTTTGGTTTCCTACAAAAATTTACTTTAAAAAAACACTATTAGTTTCAAAAAGATATTGAATGCAATGATGTATTAATTGGCCCCTAGAACCTTTAAAAATTATATCAGAGGCTGGCTGTCCTCAACAAAGAGAAGTCTTATAGGGGGGCACAGTCAGTTCAGCGTCTGACTCGTGGTTTCAGCTCAGGTCATGGTCTCAGGTTTGTGAGATTGAGCCTTGCATCAGGCTCCACACTCGGCACGTAGTCTGCTTTAGACTCTCTCTCTCTCTCTGACCCAACACCCTGCTGTCTCTAAAATAGTAAATAAATCTTTAAAAAGTCTTACAATTTTCTCAATGATTTTAGTAGTCTTATCCCATTAGAAAACATCCTCAGTAATGATCTTTCACAGTGACTCATCTGTGGCAGTATCCAGGAGCAAAGTTTAGAATAAAAAGTAGCTAAGAGTTTCACTTCTTTCTTCTTGAAAAATGCAAATTGCTGTCATGTTATGAATAACTTAATGGGCTTACACTGGAATGGAATATATTTATTGCACATCAAAAACATTAAAATAGTATAAATCAGAAACAAATGACTGCCAACCCCACCTTAATGCACACTGGGTTGTAACAGGAATAAAAGGATTGGCAAATGAAGCTTTTGCTAAACATTTTACTAATTGGAACAAAGTTTGAGGAAGCTTAAATATAGCTGAGCTCTACCATTTCTATTATTCCCTGTTCTTTGGGGAAGAAACGAAAACACTAGAAGCTAAAAAGACTTAGGTAATATAAAGGAGAAAATGAGAACTTAAAAAAAAAATATGGAACCAATAATCTAAGTTTTAGCCCTAACCATTTGGTCACATTCCTGTGAGAACTCAGAAAAAATGATTTCAGTAAAATTAATACATCCCTGAAATAGAATGCATTGTATATAATATTATGCAACCAAAAGGATGACAGTTCAAGAATCATCTTATCTCATTTCCAGGAGGCATAGCACTTCCTTATCAGCCTAGTTAATTCCTCAGGAAGACCCATGGTTTTTCTCTTTTTATTATAGGCATAAAATTAATTGCATGTTAAATGAGGCTCTTATAAATTTAAATTTGGCTCATTTAAATTTGATTTTTCAACCTGGTTTACCAGCCAGCCACAATTACTTTTCTGACAGGAAAATGAAGTGCTTGGATATAGTTCCGGAAATATTTTTCATTCATTGAGAAAGGACTGTCTGTGATGGTGGCTTGTTAAAAAGCAGCACTGATGAAGAATTTAAGGCAGACAGGTGTTACAAGGTCCAATGCCTGTTCTCAAAATACTGCAGTGAATTTCAGGCCTGGGGTGTCGCCAGCTCTTTCAAGGGGCTGCTTGAAATGAAATTTACCTTAAAAAGCACTACGATATGAGCCACTTTTTGGAAGCAATTATATGTATGGAGGAAGTAAGGGGAGGACAGAACAGCCAAACGAACAAATAATAGGGCATCACAGGCTGGAAAGTTTGAAAATCTGTACTCTTGCACGCTGTGTGATTCTACTTGGGTTATTTGACACCCCCCCCTTTTTTTTTTTTTGGTGACCCAGGTCTCTAATCTGCAGCAGAGATAACAGGATCACTGCTCTGGAAGAGCAAATTAAACCAGCTGTGAAACACTCTGTAAGCACAACAGTCTATAGAAATGCAGTAATTTCCATAGTGGTGCTCACATCTGGAAAGGTTCAGAAAGAGAGGCACCAAAGACTAAATGCTAAAGATTTTCACTGGACCTCCTGGTTTTGGAGAGTGGCATTTAGTGACGGTTCTAGCCCTTCCTGGTACTGGAAGCAAGTGCCCCCCCTTCTGATAATGGCCCTATCTCCTAGTGTCTCTTCTGAGCAGCTCAGCATGGTCAGAAAGTAACAAGAAAAAGCTGCAGCTGGTTCGACCCCTTTGTAGTGCTGTGTGGTGACTTGAGTCATTTCCTCTCCCAGGCCCTGAGCAGGGGCTAAATTCCAATATGATCCCCAAACTGCGCGGGGCCCTGGGGGTATAAAGATACATGGACACCGTCTTTCTCTCCAAGGAGCAAACAGTGTATAGTGAGAGCATCTCTGGCACAGGTTCATTTGTTCAAGGTAGTAATGTGCACCCATAAATAATGGTTTGCTACGAAGGTCAGTCTTGCTTTTTTTTCTTCGCCTCTTAATTCTTTCTCTGGAAGGCATTTTTTTTTCCTTGATATTTAAGCTGAGATTCAAGTATAGTCACAAGAGAAGATAAGAAATGATGGGCTATATCATGTCAGCGATCCACCTGAATTCCCACGATGACTTTGAAATGAAGTAGGAGATTGTGCCTTTAAGAGACTCTGCTCCCAACTTTGAAAATCTCAATCACATGAAGTCTTGAAATACATGGTATAAATTCTGGGTTTTACTTTGAGATGGAACATCATTGGTGGGGGGCTGGGACATGAGGAGTTCAATAGGGGGAATGACATTATCGGATTTCCATTTTGAGCTGCTCATGGGTCTGCTGGGGATGACCTGGAGGAGGCAGGGGTGGAAGCAGGGAGGGAGGCCAGTGAGAGGTCACAGCAGCAGAGCAAGTGGGCCAAGTCAGGATGAAGCATTCAAATATGAGACAAACTGTGTAAGTAGAAATGGGGGGACTTGCTGGTGTGCTGGACAGAGTATGGAGGTCAAGAAATCAAGGACGACCCTTAGATTTTTGGCCTAAAAAATGAAGTGACTATTAGTAGGACAGGGAAGTCAGGGGGAAAGCAGATTGGTGGGAGCCACATAAGTCTGAGCAGCACATTAGTCAAGCACACAGAGCTCTTGGCAGTTGGATGGACCAGCCTAGCATTCAGAGGCAAGGTCTCTGTGCAGGTGAGGCAAAGGATTTGGGATCCAAGGTACTAACTTGGGCTGGCTGAATGACTTTGCTGATGTCTTTTAGCCTCTTTGGGACTTGGTTTCCTCATCTATCCAAAGACAAAATAGAGTGAAATGATCTTTTGGCTTTAATCTTTCATGTGACTACAAACCAAATCAGGCACTCCTGCCCTTTCCCATTGGAATGCCTTAATCTTGTAGAAATAGCTAAATTGTAGCAACATAAAGATGCACTCAATAAATGTCTCCTTGAAAGCCATTTAGGGTTCATCTCCAATAAGCAAATAGACACATTCCGGCTCCACTTAGCAAATGTTTGTTGAACACTGGCTTGGGGCCAGGTATAGTTTTAAGTTACACATGCAAAAATGCAGTGACCCTGGCTGCAGAGGGACATCTGGGCAGCTAATCAGAACATAAGGCAGATAAGTGTGCCAGTGCAGTGAATGCACTTGCTGAAGGCACTTTTGACATGAGCCTTTTCCTCGGCACTAACCCTGTGTCTGTGGGAGTGAATATAGCAGAAGCAGGAGAAAAGGCTCCCTGTCCTTGAAAAGATGTCTGCAAGTTAACTGGCAATTCCTCAAAAGTCCATGGGCTAATAAATTATGTTATGTAAAGAAAACAGCTTTCAAGTAACTATAGTAAAAAGAAGTCTAAGTTCATTTTTCTTTTAAGTTCCGAAGATTAATAGGAACTGTATTGTTCATAAGGTAAACTTTAGTTCGATGTTAGCCTGTTTCATAGACATCTAAAGAAATATGCTCATTCCAGAAGTTACGCAGATTGGCATGGTCAGAAATGGAACAGGTGTTCAGTGTTGCCTGTTGAACGAGTAGAATCAAGGAAATTGGTAGCCTGGAGATTCCGCAAGGGTTCTATTCAAACATACTGTATCCACACATTTGCTTTCCTTTCTAGCTTGAAAAAAATGTTGCCTTAAACGAAGAACACTCTTTCTGTATATAACTTCCCAACTTCTTCTCGGCAGACCTCTCAGTTATGACTCAAGATATATCTGCTTATTTTTTTTTATAAAAACTGGCTGTATTAGAATAACGTATGTGCTGCCCCTCCCATCGTGAAACACGGTTATCCTGAGTGGGCGATTTCAGTTTAGTATGAACATGGAACGCTGGGAAGGAATTTGTGGTGAAGCCATCTGTTAAGAAATTTAATCTTTCATTGAAAAAAAAATCATAAATTATATTTTAAAAATAAACATCCAGATAAGTTGGGATTGGCATTTGCCATTCACTGAAAAGGTCTAAGTAGTTCCTCAGATCATTTTCCTCTCCTACTCCTCTCATTTTAGAATGATAGTGAGTTTATGTTTTCAATCACATAACAAAACGGTCATTCACCTCAAGGACAAATATACACTCAGACACAGCCTCTGCCAATAAAAGCACACAGTTTACTTAGTCTTCTAATTTGACTTACCAACCTAATTCTATTCTTTCATATAAGATACTAAGGAAACTTGATCTGCTATATTTTAACACCAGCAAAAAACTGGGGCTTAACGAATGTTTGTAGAATGGCTGAATGAATAGACTTTCAGAGCTTGACAGGACCTTGGGATTCTAAATGGATATAGTAAACCTCCCGCTGTGAAATTTCTACCTCCACCTTGTGAATCTAAGGAGCATGCTGTTCCTAATAGGATCTAAGTAAAGGACCTTGGGCTTACTGAAAAGGTCTTTCATATGATTTTTTTCAAAACTGCATTATGTGCAAGTCAAGCTCATTTTACACTCTGTAAACCAGCTCAGGTGGCCAAGGTCATCAGCACTCAAGTGGCCTGAACCCTACATGAATTGGACTTCTGTCTTGGCCTCTAAGAACACTTTCTA